GCTTTACAAAAGTGCAAAGGAAAGGGCTTTACTATTGGTGTTTCTACACCCACATAGGAAGAGTGAAGAGGAGCACAGGCTCCTGGTGAAACACCAGGGGTCAGAAGGGCAGCGCCCGCTCCTTTGGGCTCACGCATGTCTTTCAGGTGGAGGATGTGGTGCGTATTTGCAGCTGTCCACTTGGCCGACAGTTGCTGTTCAGGATTCAGTTGGAGTCAAGATTCGACTGGAATCAAGCATGAGCCGTTGCCATCAGGGCTGTCTGCAACACTGAGCACGTTTTGAAGTGTGCAGTCCCTTCCTCCTTGGTTAACTAGTTACTCGGAGACAGAGACAGGTGACAGCAGTGAGGTTGAAACACACCGTCCCTATTTGCTTATCTTGACTTAGTAAGCTGCAAAAGTTTCTTGCACTTCTAAACCACTGAGCTGACAGAAGCAGTGACAGGCAGCAGGGAGGAGGGACCTGCCCAAGGACAGATTCTAACCACTGCGAGCCCTTGCGCTTCATTGCACATTAAAATTTATTGATCCAGCAGGCTGGTTGCAGCACTGGCTCACCAGCCAGTTGCAATGTGTATGGTGTCTTTTCCTGCAGTTATTCTTTGCTCTCTAAACAATGATTAAGTCTCTTTGGCCCGACAAACATTAAATGGAAGTGACTTCAGTGGCCTTGCTACTGCACACAAATTGGGGGACCCACTTTACCCCGCCACTAAATAATACAGTAGTACTAGATACAGTGGGTCTGAAAGGTTTGTTTTGGACCCTGTGTCCCCTAAGCAATAGGGGGTCCTGTAGGTACTGGGAGACTACCAGACTGACCTGTTCCTGTTTGTCCTCTGGAATTTGTTGATGACATTCTTTGTAGGCAGCACCAATGCTATACATTACATGAACCCGGGGCACCTGCTCCTCATATTGAAAAGTCATCGTGTTCTGGTAGTGGTGTTGTTAGGGTGGGGAAGTGGCCCTTCACTCTTCAGGAATTGACAAGTGGGCAGATTTTGCAGGCAGGTGGCCAGCCAGAAATGGTTTCCAGGCAGATCTAGTGTTGCATCGCTGTTCCAGCATTGGTGATCTCCCAATGTCTCGCGCTGATTTTGCTAGTGAACAAGCCCCCTCAGAACATTTGCTGTCAAAGCAGATAGAGCTTGGTTGTTCCTGGATGTTGTCTTATTCTAGAGAAACAGAAATCTGCTTTTATGTGTTTCCATGTATTTCTTTTCCTTTTTTTCTTTATTCCCAGAGCTGTCTTCAGGATGGGGAAAGACAAAGTCGCCTTCATTCAGGTTGCTTCTTTCACCCTTTATTTGAAAAGGGTGAAATCAGACCTGTGTAGTCTCAGTTGTAGCACCCAAGGCTGTGGGCCGACTAATGAGAATGGATAGCTGATGCTCCAGGGATGCTCCTGTTAACAACATCAAAATAACAGAGTACACAAATGGAAGAGTCATTAGATAAAATTGTTCCAACTTTATGGTCAACCTGTATATATATAGCTGCAGAACCATGGTATCAAAGTTTAACTGAGGGGATATTACACACCACACACATTTACTGTTCAAAACCTCTCCCTGCCTAGGACTCTAATAATGGAGCAACTGTGAGTAGCCTTGCACTTCAAACCTGACAGATTTGAACTGTGCAACTTCAATTTCTGTTCCAATTGTGTTGTCATAACTGGATCATCTGAAGGTCAAGCTGTCTCCTCAGGGGTATCAAAATGGATATTATATCTTGCTGGGTTACTAAACCTGCTTGCAAGCATCTCCCATCAAGCATGGAAAGCAACTCTAAAACAGTCCGAACAACTTCTGTCATCCTCAGTTGCATGTTAATATCTGAGGTTATAAGGCACAGTGTGTGTTGGGCTTGTGAAGGTGTCAAGCAGCATCATCCTTTGCTTTAACGTCATGTTTGGAGCAGATGGCATGTTCAGGAGAGCAGTACTACAGACTGATAAAGCCTAGAGGTCTTTATTCCCTATTTTTCAAAAGAAACTTGCTCACCATTATCCTGTAGTGCAGTCCACACTGACGTGCCAAAACAGGATGGTTGGTGGCTGCCTAAACAAGCAAATTTTCAAAATAATGTAGATCCCATAATCTGTCCTGACATTAGCCCTGATTTTTCAGAGCCCTCAAGAGATTCACTTGCAGGGAAACTGTAAAAACTTGTGTTTGCTCTGTTGGCTCTATCTTGGATAGACACACTCCTGTGTCATAGATGGGTGGCCTTTTCAGATGTTACACTCCAGGTTCGTAGAAAGGAAGTGAAACCCATGCTGAGCTTGCCTTAGAGCTGCTCTTGCTTTCATTAAAATAATTATTTCAGCTCTGGTTGCCCCCAAGTGAAGAGCAATAGAAAATTAGAAGGGTTTTGGAAATGGGCAATGAGCAGCTGAAGGCTTTCGGAAAAGATTTTACATTAAGAGGATGGGGAAGATTGATATCTTTTATAAGAAGATAGCTAACAGGTACAGAGTAATGAATGGGTGAGAAAATGGATGGGGACTTCTGTTTCCACCTGCTAATAATATGAAAGTCAGATTAGAAGGTGGTGAATTCACTCCTGGTGAAAGGAACTATTTGTTCACAACCACTGTCTATGCAACTTGTCACCACAAGACAAAGCATCGGGGCAAGTACTTGATGAACTTAAAAAAAAAGAGGAGGGGGTAGAATGATATCCGTTGGAATATCCCCCCCCCCGGGCCTTTTCACTAGGTACCTGTAGCAGGGCTTAGGGGTCCTGGCCGCTGTCACGCAAAGGCTGCAAGAGAGGGCGGCTGCTGCTGCTGCACTCGAATGTGGTAATGCGTGCTTCCAAACCACCTTTTCCATCTCAGTCTTTCCAGGATTGCTAAATTCACACATAAATTAGGATGTTTTTGCTTTTCCGTGAAGTTACTGCCTTTGATAGTCCTTCACAATTTGTCTTAGATCTGGAATGACGCTTTGCCTTTTGAGTACGTGCTGGGGGAGAGGCGGGTGGTTAAAGTTAGATTCCTTCTGACAGTAGGGATTTAGAAATTGCTGCATTGGCTCAGCCCTGGGATCTGCCTAGTCCAGAGCTCTGGATAGCACCAGCCAAAATCGGATATTTCAAAGGACAGCGTGAGGCCACAGAACAGATTACTAAAACAGAAAGTTGCCCTTTTATATCACTGGTGTTTGTCCATAGAATTGGAAAAGCAAAGGTTGAGTGTTTGTTTGATGCAAGAGCACAAAAGCTGGAAAATCCCAGTGCCTGGCTGATGCTAGTTAACGCCGATGTTTTGTATCCTCCAGGAAATTACTCATGTGCCTGTTTTCTCTTAGGGAAAACAGAGATGTGCTTACCTTAAACAGCAAGTTTATACGGTGGCTTTAAGTTGGTGTAAAAATAAGTAATGCTTAAGTATAGTCTCACAGCCTAATTGTGTAGAGGGCACCCACAGCAGTGTTCTTGTTTGGGAAAGAACCCTAGGCCAGGCTGGGCTGGACTGGGAGGAGGCAGCAGTAGTGGTCACTGAGGGGTTTTGGCATGTGGAAAATGGGTGTCTTTTTCTGACTGCTGCAAGCTATCTGGCTTTCTGGGGAGATTCTGTTCTGGGTTGGTTTTTTTTGTTTCCTTTTTTTCAATTTTTTTTTTTTTTCCTGTTGCACATTAGCATTTGTAAGAGTTACATGTGGTTTTTCTCTCTCTTCTGAAGTCCTGAAATTATTGTTAAAACTGCTGCTAAAAAAGGGATTCAGTGAACTCTCTATGGAAAAAAGAAGTATATTCCTTCCCTCGTCAAATATTTTAATAGGTTGAGCTCCAAAAGCCAAAGAGGCCAAAAGCAAGGGGAGTTGCCCCTCTGTCAAATATCCGTGGAGCCGCTGCTGGGGCATGTGGGAGTGGTGGTGGTGTCCTGGTCCCCCCCCGACATACGAGGACAGCTGCTGATTAAAGAGAAGCACGAGAAAAAGAGGTTGCTGAACTTTCAAAGTGGAGGTAGAAAAGGGAGTTAAATTTAGATTACCTTCAGCAGTGTCATCTCTTACACTGCTGTGGAACTTGCTGTACTCCTTGCTTGGGAGAGGACAAACATGACATGCCATCCTGGGCACCAGATGATAAATTTGTTCATAAGGCTTAATTGCCCCTTGGCATGAAAACGTGAAATGAGCTCGAGTAGAATGAGAAACCTTCCGTTGGGGCTAGTCGTGTTTTCCTTGGGGAGAGGTGGATTAAAATGCCTTCCCATCACCTGTCGGATGCTGGAGAGGCCCATCCTGACCCTACTGAAATCAGGCGGGTTGCTGCTGTATCTTTAGGGGGGCGGCTGTTATCTGCAGGGGCTGAGAGCTGAACACTGCTGCAAGAGTTGCTCAGAAAAAATGGTAGGCAGAAGGCGGCGAGAGAGTGCCTTGGATCTGTGAAGGCTTTACCCAGGTCCCTGGGGTCTGGAGGTTCTCGGAGAAACCGCGGTGGTTGCTCTGGGAGCTCCAGTGCTGTTCAGCCAGCAGCATCAAACTTAGCTTTCTCCTCAAAACTAGATTAAATGTCTATTTTTACTTAGCAAGATGTAATCACTGCTGAGGAGCTGTGGCTCTTGCTAACGTTTTTAACAGATTCCCCTCCACTTGCAGCACCCAGTTAGCAGGGAGGGGAGCGCTTCTGCTCGCCCACGGCTCCCGGCCAGGGCCCCTGCGCAGCCAGGGCTTGCTTTTTATTTTTTTTGGTGGTTGTTATTTTTTTCAGAACTGCCCGACCTGATGTCATTTCCCTCTTGCAGACACCCCGGCTGGGCTGCGCCTGAGATCTGTCACGGGCAGTGGGAGGAGGAGGAGGGGGAGCCAGCGAGGGCGTGCGGTGTCCCAGGACCCTGTTTACTCAGCCTTCCCAGCCGAGGAAGCCCTGGGTTAAATAGGCTGGGAGCAGCAGGCTGGCTGCAGCAGATGAGGCAATGGTCGCTGCGGGGCTGTAGGTTCCTGCCGTCCCATGCGCTGGTGCAGAGGATGAGCCTGCAGAATGCCTTTCCTCCTGGGTCTCAGACAGGTAACTGGCTTCCGCGTGGTGGGACCTGCTCGCTCAGGTGGACGATATGCCCGACTGCTTTGATTTTTATTCCTCCCCCACTCTAAGGAAATGATTTCTGACTTTCCTGAAACGGCACTGTACAAGCAGCGCTTCCCCACCCGTGGCGTTTGATCGGGGAGCGCGGTGGCGTGAGAGCCGCTTTTGATTAGCGAGGAAGGAGCAAAACAGCGAGCTGGCGAAGGAGACTTTCTGGTTGTTGTTGCAGGCTTTGCGGCAGGCTGGCTCTGTGTTGTGCTCCCGTGCAGTTTTTGTGTTGGGTTTTAGGGTGCTTTCCACATTTCTTAATATGGAATAGTGTTTACATTGCTGAAAACCGTGCCAGACTTTGAACCGTCTTCTTGTGCGGGAGGTATTTTGAATATTAAACTGTGTTGGGTTGTTTTTTTTTTTAAAAAGAGACATTTATAAATCTCTGTCTCATTTCTGACAAAGGTCACCAAACGGAAAATGGCAATGTGCTGTGACACCCAGCTTGTTGACTTAATTGCTCTGGGAGAGTTTGAGCTTGAACGAGAAACTGGGGATAATTTAATAGCCGGTAATGTTGAGCGGAATGAGGAACGGTAGCAACTGCCCAGCTGCTCCCAGCTGGAGGAGGTGCCAACTATGTGTTCCGAGGCTCGGGGAGAGCAAACCCTTTTTTTGGTCTGGGAGGCACGTCTGTGGGGGAATCTAACTGTAAACTCTTTGCAGCGCTGCTGGGATCCGTAATCCACAATAAATAGAGATTGCACGCTATCAGAGTACTGCTTGCAGTTTCTAATTCAGAATTTAAAACTCAAGATCGGACCGTAGTGTGTTGTAAACTACCTACTTTCAGTTGTTCAGAGACGAAGGCAAAAGGACTTAAGCACACTGCTGAGTAAACAGTGCTGTCTCTTTCCTTATCAGTTCAGTCTTTGGCGAAATGGAGCTCCCGCCCCCC